TCAGTGGTGGTAGAGGACTGACATATGTCCCAAAGTTCCCTTCAGTGTTGGTAGGGGACTGACGTTTGTCCCAAAGTTCCCTTCAGTGGTGGTAGGGGACTAACATATGTCCCAAAGTTCCCTTCAGTGGTGGTAGGGGATTGACATATGTCCCAAAGTTCCCTTCAGTGGTGGTAAGGGATTGACATATGTCCCAAAGTTCCCTTCAGTGGTGGTAGGGGACTAACATATGTCCCAAAGTTCCCTTCAGTGGTGGTAGGGGATTGACATATGTCCCAAAGTTCCCTTCAGTGGTGGTAAGGGATTGACATATGTCCCAAAGTTCCCTTCAATGGTGGTAAGGGATTGACATATGTCCCAAAGTTCCTTTCAGTGGTGGTAGGGGACTAACATATGTTCCAAAGTTCCCTTCAGTGGTGGTAGGGGATTGACATATGTCCCAAAGTTCCCTTCAGTGGTGGTAAGGGATTGACATATGTCCCAAAGTTCCCTTCAGTGGTGGTAGGGGACTGGCGTTTGTCCCAAAGTTCCCTTCAGTGGTGGTAAGGGATTGACATATGTCCCAAAGTTCCCTTCAATGGTGGTAAGGGATTGACATATGTCCCAAAGTTCCCTTCAGTGGTGGTAGGGGACTGGCGTTTGTCCCAAAGTTCCCTTCAGTGGTGGTAAGGGATTGACATATGTCCCAAAGTTCCCTTCAGTGGTGGTAGGGGACTGGCATTTGTCCCAAAGTTCCCTTCAGTGGTGGTAAGGGATTGACATATGTCCCAAAGTTCCCTTCAGTGGTGGTAGGGGACTTATGTCCCAAAGTTCCCTTCAGTGGTGGTAGGGGATTGACATATGTCCCAAAGTTCCCTTCAGTGGTGGTAAGGGATTGACATATGTCCCAAAGTTCCCTTCAGTGGTGGTAGGGTGGTGGTACTAACATATGTCCCAAAGTTCCCTTCAGTGGTGGTAGGGGATTGACATATGTCCCAAAGTTCCCTTCAGTGGTGGTAAGGGATTGACATATGTCCCAAAGTTCCCTTCAGTGGTGGTAGGGGACTGGCGTTTGTCCCAAAGTTCCCTTCAGTGGTGGTAAGGGATTGACATATGTCCCAAAGTTCCCTTCAATGGTGGTAAGGGATTGACATATGTCCCAAAGTTCCCTTCAGTGGTGGTAGGGGACTGGCGTTTGTCCCAAAGTTCCCTTCAGTGGTGGTAAGGGATTGACATATGTCCCAAAGTTCCCTTCAGTGGTGGTAGGGGACTGGCATTTGTCCCAAAGTTCCCTTCAGTGGTGGTAAGGGATTGACATATGTCCCAAAGTTCCCTTCAGTGGTGGTAGGGGACTGACATATGTCCCAAAGTTCCCTTCAGTGGTGGTGGGGACTGGCGTTTGTCCCAAAGTTCCCTTCAGTGGTGGTAAGGGATTGACATATGTCCCAAAGTTCCCTTCAGTGGTGGTAGGGGACTGACATATGTCCCAAAGTTCCCTTCAGTGGTGGTGGGGACTAACATTTGCCCCAGAGTCCCTTCAGTGGTGTTGTTATTCAAACTGGAGTACTTTAGTTAACCATCATGTCTCAGCCAGGAGGACTCCAAATTTTACCTTTGATTGGAGAATCAAACCCTGGTTGCCTAGGTGATTGGCAAGTAGTTGTATGACATGACCAGCTATTTCTGTTTGAATATACATGTATATATAAATATTTGATATATGTTACATAATTAAGATATGTATTTCATTCTTGAAGAGGCAATTTTCAAACCTGCTTTGTCATATTCATGGGTTAGGTTGAAGTTTCCTTTTAAAGCAGAGTGCTTTCGGATGATGAAATATGACTTTCCAGATTATTTTAGAAGCTTTATGCTCAGAGGCAGGCTCTGAGGCAAGTCATCTGAGATTTGTTGGCTGCTAATAGAATGTGTGGGCTGCTGAATAAGTGCCATTGGCTTGTAGCAGTGTTCTCTGTATAGAAAGCAGTTGATGAAAATAGAGATATAACTGTATCCAGGAATTTCTGTGACAATACCAGCTGTACTGTAGTCGACCTGCATCACATGAGAATGAAATGTGGCATGTTTAAATGGATCACAGAAAAATGTAACAAGTTCTTAATTACTGAATTTGTGAAATATAATTGAATGTATTCTGTGATATTAATTGTGAATTATGCGAGGCAGTAATACTGCATTTTGCTTGTTCTAACATCCATGACTGAAATCCTGATTGAAATCCCAGACTGACAAATGTGTCTGACCTTGAAGAAGGTGGAGAATTAGGATATTGATTAGTCCATTGAAGCAGTCAATTAGCTTAAAGCTTTGCTGCTATTGGCAATTTGTATATAACAGGGTTGCTTTCTAGCTAGTAGGCTAGGTTTCCTCCACTTGTTTTAGGAAGCACTGGTTTGTAGTATTACTGATATTGTATTGGAACTCTTAGGTCTTTCAGATACTTCCGGATTCATCCCAAATATTAAGTATTTCTAAACATTGGTCTAAAATTTTGACAGGACATGTCATAGTATTGAGTTTTGTGGACATACAGCCTTCCTTTATAAACATATGCATATAATCTCGGCTCCCAGATTTCAACTGATTTATTTCAAACTTTGTAGACAGAATAATCTTGACATTAAGTTACGTTTTACAACAGATTGGACTGTATTTATATAGGTTACTGCCCCTGGTTGTTTCATAACATAACATTAAAATCTTGACTGGAAAACTCATCTCTCAGTTTTTAATCAATTTCGATCTTTAAATTAGATAGGATTTTACAGCTAGAACAAAAAATGTTTTTTTTTTGCTAAACACATTTTAATGAAAAAACATTGGAAGAGTTATTGCCCTTTGGTTCTTTTCAGCTTTTTATTTCCCTCAGTTTTCAACTGATTTCTTATAAACTTTTTTGTCTTTTATGCCTTTTGATTAAACAATTTTCTTTTTTGTCTGTATACTTTATCCCACAAATCCAACTTATCTCCTTATAGCTTGGTAGATGTAATGATGACAGAATGAAACTGTTTTGTGGCATTTTAATGATTCTGTTATTAATTTTCCATGTCTGTTCTGCCTAACGATACTGTTGTTTCATGGGTGAATTATCTGAAATATTTAAGAAAAACAAAGCCGTCATGGACTTAAAGAAGGTCCATGGCCTGAAAGACTTACTTACAAGAATTAAGGTCATGACCTTAATAACTTGCACATAGAAAGGTTTTTTGACTGAATGACTAATATTTTCTGGTTCATTGCCCCCAAAGAGAAAAAACAGCGAAGGGTTTAGTCCGATCTCCTGCATATGGAACGATTCATGGTTCTAATGACTTTCACATGGCAAGGACTAGGGACCCTAATGAATTACAGATAGAAAAAGCTTTGTAACTCCAATGACTTAGCTATAAGAACAATCATGACACTGATGTCCTTTCTATCAAATGATCTATAGCTCCATTGATTTGCTCCAAAGACAAGGCTCTAGGTTTGATGACTTACAATAGTACTTATGAGAAGAACCAAAGCTTCAGAGACTTTCATATAAGGTATCATCTTGATGACCCACGTATAACATCCTGATACCAGGTTAATGGTCTGAATGTCTTTTGTGTGACATTTTCTCTAGTGACCTAAGGGATATACATGACAATGTGTATGTGTTAAGTCAGTGTGGATAAAGACAGTCGTATGTATTGATCATGAAGTAAATCAATACATTTTTCAACATAGTGGGATTTCCTGCAAGGCTAGCTGGACTTTTTCTGTAAAGTCTTTGTAAGTTATTTCAATGGCGAAATGTATTGATTGGAGAACAAGGAAAGTAAATGCCTTTTCATATTTTATTTTGAATTCCTTCGGGGATATTCTGGTGTACACTAAATGTGAGATTATAGAGAGGTTTTGTAATCATCATTTATATCTTCACCTTATACAGATATCACTTGTAATGAAGTGTGAAATTTTTACAAAATCAGACATTGCTTCATATCAAAAGGATAAAATTACTTATCAAAGCTTTAACAACATAGTGTGTATAGACTAGTTTATCTACAAATCATTCCCATTGATTTTTAATGCGAGTTTTATGATGACTGTAAATATAAACTTGTATTTAACAAACATCAATGATATGATGTAAAGACCTATGTAAATATAGTGTTTGTTTTGGGGATTTCATTCATGGTTATGTATTAGCAGAGCTTGTTTACAACCTATTTATAATCTGATGTTGTACTAAGGTGATGCTTATTCCTATTGAGACATTTTAATTAGTATAAGATTAGCACTAGTCTCCCTTTTTATAACGATTCGGACATCAGTTTTAGAGATTAACACAGTAGGAAATGGTGCCATAATTATAGACCAATCCAGTTAGAATATAGAACACCTTGTACCTGATGCCTGATGGTCAACATCACTTATCAGGGTCTTTCCTGTGTCCTTGAAGACATTGAAGAATCAGTATCAGGGTCTTTTTTGTGTTGTTGATGAAATAGTTTAGACATATTGAAGTGATCAGACAATCAAGGTCTTTTCTGTTTTTTGTATAGCTTGTAGATACTGAAGTGATAAGTTTGCAACGTGGGTCTTTATCTTCAACAGGTGCTTGTACTACATGGTGTTCTTTTCTTTACAGTCACAGTAGCTATCATCCACTTATCTTGGTCACATTGATGTTTGACACTAGTGATATTGTTGTTGAAAAGGATCTAATATCCAATCTCAAAAACAAGATTTTATTGTTAAATTTTCATTGTTTTATAAACTGATTTGATTTTTATCTTCGTGATTATTCGCCCAAAATCAGTTTAGAAAGTAAAGAAAATTACACAATATAGTATCAATGAATACCTGTTCTGAAGATTTAGAGTAAACTCATATAAAATACTATTTAGACTTAGTTAAATCTGACATGGATTGGTGACCAGAAAATGTCTTCATTCATATCAGGCAGTATCTTGTCAGTCATTTTCTTATCACTTTGCTTAAACACTTGTTGGTTTGTGTACTTTCAGGACGTGGACCCTGTGTGGTACCCCCGAATATCTTGCACCCGAAATTATCCAGAGCAAAGGTCACAACAAGGCTGTGGATTGGTGGTCACTAGGCATCCTCATTTATGAAATGTTGGTCGGGTAAGTGAGCTTGGCCCTCTGATTCTTTTTTTTTTTTGATTACAGTGTTATCTATATTTATAAATTCTGTACAGTTTGTTATTTTGCACTTTTCTATATCTCTGACATTGACTCTTCTGTGCCTTGTACATCAATATAATTCATTGTTCAGAGTTGATATCTTATTATGGGTAGGGGAGGTGACGTAAAGTTAATATTCTTTCTCCTGTATTTAAGAATTTGAGTAAATATTCCTTTCAAGTTAGATCTGTGTCACACACTGAAATTGGTAAAATCCCAAGATTGGTCCAGATTAAGTGTGGACTGGCTCCTTGAACAGTTGAATGATACAATTCAGCATCAGATCAATATGAACTGTTTTTCAGATTCCCACCATTTTTTGATGACAACCCATTTTCCATTTATGAGAAGATTCTGGAAGGCAAGATAGAATGGCCTAGACATCTGGATCCTGTGGCAAAGTAAGATTTTTATGCAAAAGACGTCAAACCTGCTGTTTTCATGTTTTACAGTGATATTCATAGAGATACACACATACATATAAATAACATATGGACGATGATGATGTCTTATGGATATAGATTCTCTCATATTGAATAAATCCTGGTATCGTAATGATGAAAATGAATCTATTGCCATACTGTAAACAGAATTTTCTCCCAATTTTTTTCTGATTACATTGCTGTAGGTAATGGTATTAGTATCACAGGTGTGAACAAAATCTGGTGTAAATTTAAAGATATTTTTTTATTCATTCAGGGACCTGGTTAAGAAACTGCTTGTCCAGGACAGGACAAAACGGCTGGGAAATATGAAGGTAATCTACTGATTACAAGCAGATTGTATGGATCAGTAGAGTACAGGCACTGTGGATCAGTAGAGTACAGATACTGCGGAGCTGGAGTGATTTTTGTCATATTAATTTCAGCTCCTGTTTCAAGGATATTTGTCTATATGATATATTTGTTAAAAACTATCACATGTGATTAATGTATTGAAGATTAATGGTCACATAATCAATTAGAATAAATACAAAAGAGACAGAAAATATATCATTATATAAGTACATGTAGTAGAAATAATTGACAGGCGTGCAATTGGTAAACTGCTATTTGAATATAGTCTGTATCAGAAAAGTACATACTATGTGGATATTTTTATTGGTGTAAGGGAAATAACTCTTACTTGATTCTAGCCTGACATACGTTGATTATTACAGAATGGTGCAGATGATGTGAAAAGACATAAGTGGTTCAAAGGTATCCTATGGGAGGATGTGGTAGCAAGAAAACTAACGGTAGGTTTGTGGGGTTTTTTTTTAATGAAATGTTGATCAAACTAATCGTTTTAAGGAAGAAATTAAATATATTTACACAATTCAAAGCTTCAAAAGATTTTTCAGTTTTCCTCCTCACTAATTCTCCACGCCCTACTTTTATATATCTGTTTCCTAAAAGTCTTTATTTCTGATGTAACTTTCTGTCATAAATTTGGATCTGATAAAAAATAAATTTGGACGGCTTTAGAACATGTAATATATAGCTTTTGATCAACCTTCCTTTCCTTTTTTTCTAGCCTCCTATTGTACCCAAACTGTCACATGCAGGAGACACAAAAAACTTTGATGAATACTCAGAAGATGATTGGCGGAAGGCAGCTGTTGTCAGTGACCGAGAACTCAAATATTTCCAGGACTTCTGATCACAACAGCGTCCAAAACAATTGGAAAATCATCCATTTTTTTCAAAGGATCAATTAACATGACATGGAATGTGATGTTCGTGTCTGGAAGTGTGACACAGTTAAGGATTCAGATCTGTGCCGTATAATTAAAACAACCTGCTTCTGAATTTGAAGCCTAGCACTAGCTGTTGCAGCCACTTGATATGCATTATTGGATGGTAGACTGTAGTAGTGTTATTTGCGAGGATGCAAAAAGATACCTTGGAGATAAGATTATTAAATAAGACTGTGTTTTGTTCCTAAACTTCCATGAAAATTTCATCCATTCTTCTTCAACCTTTTCATAAAACCATAAAAAATTGAATCTTTGAAAATAACTTTTACTGTATGTCCATAGTTGTTGATTATTTTCTTTGATAAATTTTCATTGAAATATTTACATTACCAGTGTGAGTGAGTAAATTGTTAGATATTTAAAGGCTTAAGATTGTGTATTACAATGAAATTTTATGCACAAGTTAGAGGTATAAATAGCTGTGTTGAAATTAAATATTTTGTTATTCAGTGAAGAAAAGAAATTACCTGTTGGCATTTTTGATTATCAAAAGCTGTTAATATCACTTCATTAAAAAAATCAGAAAGAAATTTTAAGAAAAAGGCAATATTGTATGGAGCTTCAAGAAAATTCAAGATGTAAAAAAATTGTCTATAGAATCTATTAATTAATTCAGATTAATAAAGATAAGGAATTACTGAAATAATGAGACCATATTAATGATTACCTATCAAATTATCTCTACATTGATTTATTCATGGTGAATATTTGATCTAATGGGCAGTTTTCTGTCATAGTTGAACAAATATTGGATAAAACATAACCTTCACTTATCAAATGGTGATACATATATATATATTCTGGTACAACCAAAAGTTGAAGTGTGGATTGGTTGTTCTTGTCACAGAAAATAAAAACTTCTTGGTAGAAACCTGTCACAAAAGGAAACTAGTTTTGCATAGATAAGTAAGATATACATGTATATATGTATTAGAGATAGACCTAGACAAATAGCCTCTGTTGGCAGGCAATCTGCACAGATTGATTATATGGGAGATAACTCTAACCACCTTTGATGCCTACTAACAGTTTCATGGGTAAAATGTCATGTAATTCTTTCATAGCTGAACCAAGCTAGGGCATGTTCCAGATAATTGACTCCTTCAAAAAGGGAGATTTTTCAATCTGTTGAATTCCTCTAACCATGGGGCTTTCAAACCTTACAGATATTAATTCTGTTTCTGTAACAATCCTCATATGACATGCACTTATCGTTAACAATTGGTGCAGTCATCATCACATGTCATAAAAAAACATTGTTGTAAATAGATGCCTATATTATTATCATGTTCAGTGTAAATACAGATTTTTACAAACAGAAAAATATTTTTTATGAATGAAGATTTAATTTATTTAATTGAACTGTGTAGTTTTGTGTATAGATACCCGTTTCCTCTATATACCATAGCACGTACTGAATCAGTGAAATCCACAAAGGTTATGTCTGTTGATTCTATCGGAAGCTTAAAATGTGGTTGTTTTTTAAATCTTTTATATGGTTTTTATGTATATATCACCATTTTCCTCCCCAGACTTTTGTTCTTGAAGATGATCATTGCTTTTATTTATTAAGAAAACATTTTTAACCTGGTTTTTAAGATTTCAATGCATATCAAGGCCTAACAAAGTTCATGTCTGACCACCATATTTAACATGAGCTTATCACTTTTCAAGCATCCATCGATTCACACTTTAGAATTTTCTTGGTATCCATAGGCACATTTTGGTTTTCCATTTACTCATAGGCATACATGTACTTTGGTTTTATGTACTCGTGGGCACATTGGTTTCCTTGGTACTTAGAGATACATTATTGTTTCCATGGTACCAAATGTTACATTATGGTTTCCATAGTACCAATGTGTACATCTTGGTTTCCATGGTACCCACCGGTACGCAAAGTACAACCTGGTTTCCATGGTACCCACCGGTACGCAAAGTACAACCTGGTTTCCATGGTACCCACCGGTACGCAAAGTACAACCTGGTTTCCATGGTACCCACCGGTATGCAAAGTACAACCTGGTTTCCATGGTAACAAGTGTATTCTTTTGTGGTGTGAAATTAGCTTCATTTCAATAGTTTCCATTTTGTAAACATGGAATAATACAATGTTTCCTTCATTGTCTGTTGGAACTTCTCAGTAATAACTGTGAAGAGTAAGATGTTATTTTTAGTAAATTACCTTTCTTGATAGTTTGTACAATTCATGAAAGAAAGAGGACCTAAATGATAGGACCAGGGGGCTAGAGATATTTTGAATGTACACTTAAGTACAAGTATCATCAGTTTTGAAGTAAAAATCACCTGCTGTATTCCAGTATAGATTGTAAAACCATGACATGAACTGTAACTAGGGGAGCTGATCACTGCTCTTTGTCCTCAATTGTTACAACAAATTATTGTGATTCTGTTGGTCTGGACGTGCAAATAAAATCTAAAATCATAGTCATTCCTGTTTTGTACAGCTTGCATTTTCATAAGCCAGGTCGCTAATATTTTTCTGGCACTCTGTTATTTGCAAATGTTGTCATTCTACTAGTTCATATATAAAACAAATAAGTTATATTTTCAGCCATTTTGAGAAGTCCTGGATTTAGACAGTTTTTTTTTCATTACAATATGGAGATAGCCATTGATAGACATTTTTTTCCAAAATATCTGTTTTACAGGGGAAGTAAAAAAATAGGCAAATTACATTTAACCATTGGAATGTATTGTGCTCTCTGCTATTCATCTCTGTAAATGACTTTAATCATTTCAAGATGTTTGAAAATCTACATACAGTTGACGGCAAATCATTCAAGACCAATTCCAGATATCAGTTTTCTATATTGAATCATTAAATGAAATATAATCTGTTCTATATTTCTATATCTTTACATTTATATTTAAATGCACAAAGAGTAACTATTGGACCTTGGTGTTTACGTTTGATATTTATAATGATTTTCAATCCACTTTCTGTATGTTTCCAGTCTTTCTCTAGTTCTTGTATTATCTTATAACATCTAATATAATTCTTTAAGTTGATACTATATAGCATTTAAAATGTTGTCTTACTCATTTAGCCTGTATGTGACCTGTCATTCAACCTTCTAATATCATCCATTTATAAAGTACAATAATTACCACTATTTCTTTGAAAGTACTAAATGGATAATTCTCATATTTCATAATTATATCCAACTGGCCTTCTTTGATTTTAACAAAGTCATTATTTCTCAAAAAGTGTCTGAGAGGTCATTCTCAAAATTTGATGTCTGTTTCCCATGTGAATTGATATTACTCGTATGATTAATCAAAGAAATAAAAGAAAAGAAGGTTACAGATCCAACTCTGATAGACCATAAATAAAATGATATGGGTTATTAGATCATTCTGGGATCTCCTGTAAACTATTGCATATTTATTCTGATTTAAGCAGAAAGATATTTTTACAATTTTAAAATATGTTTACTTGATCAGCAGCTTAAGGAAGAAATATTTATTAATCAAACTAAAACTGAAGTTTTTACTGAAAATGTATGTGTGAGTTTGTGTTTTACAAGGAACATTTTACCAAGATTATTATTTGTAAAGAAGTTTAAAAACAATCAATTTTAAAAAGTCATCATATACCTTTATGTTAACCATCATTTGCCACAAACAACACTAAAGAAAATAATTCTCTTTTAACCCTTGACATTTTGGGTTTTTGACTCCTGACCTTTTGGAGTTAATGAACAAAATACCTACTGCCATCATTGTTTTTGGGAGAGTGTTTTAAACTTTGTATTGTTTGTATTGACATGTATCTTTACTCAATATTTTGTGTATTTGACAATTTACATCTATTTTTATCAATTATGTACACGTTTTGTAATTTATAAATACTGTTTTTGATTGAGTGTGTTTTTATTGTACAGTGTAAATAGAAGTTTGTGACATCTGCATATCTATTGTCAAATGTTGACTTTTTATTACATGAAGATAAAAACGAGAAACATTCACTATATATGTTTATGGTGAGGTTTATCTGAAAGATATGGTTGTAAAAGGAATGTTAAGAAACCTGCAGGATTGTAATTTAAATTATGAAATTTTAAGATTAAATAATTTTAATTCAGAAGTACATGTATTAGCTACAAGATCTCACTATATTACAGTTTTTATTTCTTTTTCATGGTCTGTATAAAATTTTATATCTTGCGTATAAATATAATGGAAAGATATTGTTAAAGGAAACGTCTTGGAGAAATAAATTTAATAATCAAGGTAGGTATTAACCAAGTTATCCCCCTTGATGAATTACATCATTAGTATTATAGAAGCATGTAAAATGAACTTCTATGAATTTTGTGCTGATGACATTATGGATTGACAAGTTATTTTTACAATTTATATTTATTCCGTTTTTTCCTAGAGGAAAGACATTTTACAATATATGAATATATATATTGATTCCAATACCTCACATAGCATGAAATCACTCATAATGTATTAAAACTATTTTTTAGAGTATTTGTTATTTAAGGATTAGAGTACTGATTCAAATCTGCAAGTAAAATTATTGATATTGTCTAGAACATACTTGCAAATTTTCCAAGGTAGGAAACATTCTTGATACTTTGGTATAGAAATTAAGGTACATGTCAATGTAGAAACTCCATCAATTAAGATGCATATTTTTTCACCAAATTGTCAGTTTTATCAGTGTTTTGCTGTCTTTGATAAAATCATATTACATATTTTTTGCTAATACAACCAAATCTAAAGGTAGGCCTACATATCAACAGGTTATTTTCTTTTACAGTTAATTGAACAATCCTTGGTTACACACAAAGACTTCCCTGTAGAAGTATTACTTTTACAATTAATTGAACAATCCTTGGTTACACACAAAGATTTCCCTGTAGAAGTATTACTTTTACAATTAATTGAACAATCCTTGGTTACACACAAAGATTTCCCTGTAGAAGTATTACTTTTACAATTAATTGAACAATCCTTGGTTACACACAAAGATTTCCCTGTAGAAGTATTACTTTTACAATCCTTGTTAATTGAACAATCCTTGGTTATACACAAAGACTTCCCTGTAGAAGTATTACTTTTACAATTAATTGAACAATCCTTGGTTACACACAAAGACTTCCCTGTAGAAGTATTACTTTGGGGCTTTAGAACACTGATTACAATGGTGATGTAGCTTCTGCTTGTTTGGTTCTTTTGATGAAGAAATGAAAACGGTGTGATATTTCTTGGGAAAGAATTAAATAAAAATTGTCATTTTTTGAAAAATGTAAGTTTTGTTGATTTATTATTCTTTGCGATAAATTTC